ATTATTTTTATCTTTGCGATTATATGCTTTTTTCTTTATTCAAAACTTTGAACATGTTCATGAACTTTGAATCTAGGCTCAATAGGAACACTAGATTTAAAAAAGAGTTCAAACTTAATGAAGATAATTCTATAATAACTGCACATGCTCAAGCATTCCATGTTATTATTGATAAAGTTAAAATTAACAAAAATTTTATGACTTAAAAGAAAATAAATGCAACCATGAATTAATCACAGAATGTAAACAATTATTTATATTTGATGTTGATTTGTCTAAGTTGTTGGTTGTTGGTTCATATAAAAACTCCAACCAATGTGTTACTGAGTATACAACAAAAATCAAACATTCATGTAGACAGGTACAAAAGAGCGAAATAATTATTTCAGATATTAAATTAAATGATAAACTTATCAAGGAAGTTGAAGATGCATTGAAAGAAACAGTTCAGGATAAAAAAAATAAACTTCTTAAAATATCTAAAAAATATAGTTACTTTTATGCACAACATTTTATTTTGGGTGGGTTCATAATAAGAAATGAAAAATATATTCAAAATTTAGGTTTATATTAAATGCTTTGATAAACTGTTGATTTTTTCAATTTATTTACATATCAATATTTAATCTTGTAGGTGAACCTTCTAAAGCTAACAAAATTAATATACATTCTAAAATCAAAGTAGATTTTGAAAGTTTTGGTAATTTTAATACTTTTTTTCTTTTTAACTTTCAATTTCCATAATTTAATTACATGTTAAATACTTTAGGTGAAATTTTTAAATTTATAAATAAGGTACAGGCCAGTACACAAGTTGTTTATGCAGTTGGTAACGAAAATACTAATAAGCTCTATGAAATTGTTAAAACACATAATCTAGATATTATTGGTGGAAACAAAAATGATATAAGTGTTTGGAGAGAATCTCTTGAAGATAGAGCTAACTGGAAAATCATTAGATATGATAAGATTTTTTCATTGTTTGAATTATTAGAAGATTCTTTAAGAAATAAGGTTTTAAGTGTTTTGAATCACCGGATTTTAAAGGGTAAAAACCTTAATATTTTATGAAGCTTTTTTTTTCCACAAAATCTAATTATTTTGCTTAACAAAATAACAGCGAAAATCGACGAAATAGACTTCATAAAAAAATATGACGACAAATATAAAAAACCGCTGATTTATTCTTGCTTCAATTGTGAGTGAAAATAATAATGTATTTTCGCTACACATAGAGTATATGAATGAAGATAAAAACCATCCGGTATTTGTTGTTCATCATATAGAAGAAGCAGAAAAAGAATATTTTTCAAGCTTCTTAATGTCTAAGAAAGAGAAAGTTAAAATTAAGCTTTGTTGGGTTTTCATTGGGCCACCAACAAGCTTTAATTGCTTTGATTTAAGTTTTAATTGTTTTGATTCGGGCATTCACTATTCATCAGTATTTAAAAGCGAAAAGTCAATTCTTCGAGATATAGATAATTGCATAATAAAGAACTGTGGCAGAATCGGTACTTGTGTATTAGAAATAAGTAACGATATTACTCAGATGGAATCATCAAATAATTTAGATACAGAAAATAGTACTTTTGATATTCTTAAATACAATCCAAACCAATCAAGATATGTTATTGGCAATTATCTTACTTCTGAGGAGTAGAGATGCGATCCGGATATCCGCTAATTTAATTTTATAACAAAATTATTATAAAGAATCCGGATATCCGGATATCCGTTAAATTTTAAATAGGAAAACGGATAACGGATCGCATCTCTACTGAGGAGTCAGCGCGTTTGTTTATTTATGACATTAAAGAAAGAAAAAAGGTGACAGATGAAGCAGTTTTGAAACGATTGGCTTTATACAGTTGGCAAGTAAAATATTATTTAGTTTCTAATTTCATTATAAAAAAAAACCGATTATTTTTCAGATAGTAAAGTTTCAGATGTCAAATAATGTTATACTATCTTATATGACACTTATGCATTCTTTTGTTTAGTATATTGTACAGGATCATTTTTAACTAAACATCAGGTGTCCTTATTTTGTAGTCTTTCTCGAATTTGATCAGAAAACATTTTCGGATTGACATCTGAATCATTACAAACTTGTGTAAAAAAACTCGTATTAATGATTCACCTTTTATTCAACAGTACATTAGATGTGCCTAAAATGTGTAATGAAAAGAAAATTGAATGGGAAAAGGAAAGAAGTAATGAAAAAATATTATATAGCGAAAAAATTTCTGACCTTGATAATAATTTAATCTTGGTGAATCGAAAATGTGCAGATTGTACAACATGTGAACATCATGGATTCATTAATATCATTCCTGATAAAATCATTTATGAGTCATTAAATTCGAAATCCTCGGATTTAGAGGGATCAATTGTTTATTTTATAGTTCCTCGTGAAAAAAATATTACTAAAATATATTACTAAAGGATGATAGAAAATTTTTTAGATTATACGCATATATAGTTTCTTTTTGATCGTACCATTTTTTCTTCATACAGTATCTATTATAATTATTGTTTACCTTATTTAAATTTTTAAATCATTCACACTCTATAAATCATGTGATCAGCGAACACCTTCACAATGTTATGTGAACCTGACGAAACAATGTAGGAATAAAGATCCAGAAAAACGGTCAACAGAAGAACCCTGAAGTTTTAAAAAATGGCGAAAGATTATCAAATTTTAACGGAACTAAATACCTAAACATATCAGAAACTTTGACATAAATGCAAATAGTGGTAGCAGACTAATTAGTTTATACTGTATAATCAAAATCAAATCGTATTTTTGATCAATATTTTATAATCGATCCTTAAGATAATATCTAGTTAGAAAGTAAAAATAAAGTGAAAATTATCTTTACATTTTCTAAAAGAATTTTAAATATCATTATCAAGAGACTATTAAAATATGTAAAAAAAACCTCTAAGCAATGATTGAGTTCAAATGTGTCTTGAAAGCGAATTCAGTTTAGATCTTTAAACGGGTTATGACAATTCAATATACAGTATATTAATAAAATTGAAATGTTAAATGTATAACGTAGAAAATAACGTGAATGCCAACCAATCAAATCTCGTCGTCGATAGTATCAAAACGTCATTTTTAAAGATACTTCAAAGGTTTTTGGCGTAGGAAAAAAATATAGATAGTATAAAAATATGAAATAACAAAAAATTTTATTATAATTAAGAAACCAAGTTATATTGTGTAAGATATAAATGATAGCTTAGAAGACTGTCTTCATAAAACCTATAGATCGTCATAAATTTTATATGTGCTGACATTACTCTTGACCGATATGATGTTAAAGGAAAATCTTACAAATATTATTAAAAAAAAAAGAATATAGGAAAAAGATCGATATTTAATAATTTTGTGTAACATTACTATTACAGTGATTTTCTAATAATTGTAGTGATGCTCAATAAGATCTAATAATTTATCAAAAAAATGTGTGTCGATTATGAAAATCCATATGAAAACACTTGAATATTATTTTTTTAATATTTATAAAGTTTTGATAAGTCAGTGCAGGAAAAAAGTTGGTTCTGGGAAACAAGTTTTTTGACTGAAATGGTAAACTCTGTCTTTTTTTACTTTAAAATTTTTCTTTCACGTAATAAACTACCTTACTTATCTTAATGACAAGCTGATTAATCGATTAAAAATACTTTGACACATTTTCGAAACAATCCAAATAAGAACAGTAACAAAGTGAAGATCATGAGTACTGTTGAACCTCCCAAAATCGATAACCTCAAATCTGATATAAATCTGATAGTTTATAATGTTTACAAATCTGATAACCTCTCAATATTGATACAAATCTGTCCACCATGCATACTGTGGTTGAGCAGTAATTTTTTATCAAATTTGACAGGTTATCGATTTTTTGGTTCAAAAGTAAAATTTTTTTTTTTTTATAATTACTGTTGAACCTCTCCAAACCGATATGCATGGTGGACAGATTTTGTATCAGTATCGAGAGGTTATCAGATTTGAAAGCATTATACACTATTAGATTTATATAACGGAAACGGACTTGGTAGACAAATTTCTTATCAGATTTAACAGGTAATCGGTTTTGAGAGGATCGATTTTGGGAGGTTCAACAGTATTCTGAAAATAAAGAGATCGAATTTCTAAATCGGGTACATAAACAACAAGAAAACGAAATAATGAAACATCTCATAAATAAAACCCTCTATCATATGATAAAGATGATTCATCGGAGCAACTATCTACTAATATTTCGTCTAATCAAAACAGGATTCTATTGTTGCGGAAAGTAATAAACTTATATCTTCTGAAATAATGTAATAGCATAAATAATAGGTAGAATAATAGCCATTAAAAAATCGCGTCAAAATAAAAGATGAGACCCCTCTTTATTTCATAAAAATTATAGCCAGAACGATAATATACATATGATATAAAAAATATTTTATTTATATCATATCATATAATAAAAAAAAAAACATATGCCTCAAAGAGGCACCCTTACTGTGAGGTTTACATTTGATCTAACATGTCATCCCGATCAAACCCAATAAACCAAACAAAATATAACCTTCTAGAGATACTTCTAAAATCTAGACTGGTTTGTCCTGTGAAATCATTCACGCAGCCATGTAAAATGTATTCAATTTTAATATTCATAAAAAACTTTTTTGTTTATTTTTCATAAATATGAATTAGCATTTTGAATTTAGTATAGATTGTCTGCATTATATTTCTGTCTTTATTTATTTGAATAAAGCAAATATCGTAAACAAAATAGTTAAGCTCATGCCAGAAATCATCTAGCACAATCAAATTGTTGGATTTCATTTTGACAAGATAAATTAAGATTTAAAATTTTTGAATTTCTTTTCTTATATATTAATCATCTTTCTGTTCACCATTTATAATTGACTTGATAATCGATTTTATGATTTATATTGGTTCTATTTAAAATTTTTCCCAATACCAAGCCTATAGTTAAAAAAATATATATAAAGATCAAATCTATTTATAAAAAAGCGATAGTTCTTGAATCATGCATGACTTTACTTTGGTAATCCTCGATTCAATCCTTCTAGTAACATACATGCTTTACAAAGTTCATTACTAGACATATATCCGCATCGTTTACATACACCTTGTACAGGTAATTTTACCCCGTTTTTTATTTCAAAGGCTTCCCCCAGAATGTATGATGTCTTTATAATAGAAAAAAATGTTAAACGATGTATCAAATAATTTGGTTTAAGAAAGTTCTATATTAACCTTACCTATAATAGCACTAGGTCGTAAATCTTTTATGAAAGTCCGTACATGTCCCCGATACGCATTTTGGTGAGTATATACACTCAGTCGAAAAATAATCGAGCTTCTTAAAGTAAGCATACCTAGTATTTAATAATTTCAAGCACATTACATAAATAAAATGAAATCATATTTAATCAAAATGCATACATAACGATTTCTTTTTCATAAGTGTATTTAAACGGTTTTGATCTTCGTATACTTCCATCTCCAGACGTACACATCGTGGAAGTCGAGCGATATCCCCCCTTAAGACTAAATTTAACAAATTAACGTAAAAAAAAACATATGCAATATGAAAAAAAAAAAAAATACAAATTTATTAAAGTAACTAACTATTCATCAAAACTGTTTCAGTGATATCATCAGCATTATGCCCCGTCACTATATGATCTACATCCAAGATTACAGCACCTCGATCTAATGCCTGACGTCTGAAAACACCACAAAAAGTACCTAAAAAAGAATATGGTTGTGTAAATTATTTTGATAGAATTTATAAATTGGTTCTATAAATAACTTACAATTATTTTCCTTTAACAATTTGATCCATACTCCATCCATACAATTCGCTATAGGAAACAATTTTAAGTGGAAGATCATATTGTTGCTGGATCCTCTTTACAGTCTAAATCCAATATGAATAATTGTTTAGTAATGTATATATAATATATATATATATATTTTTTTTTTTTTTTTGCAATAAAAATTATCATTTCTACCTCCAAAGAGTCATCTCAATAGCCAGTTATTCCTTCATCAATTAACAAAAGAAAAAGATCCAGATCATATTGATATCTTTGATTCAAAAGCTTCATAAGCCAAAACTGTAGAATTTAAAAAAATTTTTAAAGTTTACAATTTAGTAGAAATTTTAAAGAAATTCATTTACTTATTGACATTATAAATAAGTAATTATTTTAAACCTTTTCCTCCAGAAGCTGCACCTTTCAGTGAATCAATCTAGAAAAGTAGTAAGAAGTTAGCATAATTGCAAGGATTGTACAGGAGTATTGTGCAAGAGACAAATGTAAGTGGTCTGTAGCAGGAGACTGTGCAGGAGACGAAGTCTCTACAGCCTAGCAATGTGAATGATCTGTAGCAGGAGTACTGTGCAGGAGGCGAAGTCCCATGGGAGTCCCTACAGTCTAGCAAATGGAACGATCTGTAGCAGAAGTACCATGCAGGAGATGAAGTCTCACAGGAGTCAGGCTTCTAAGAATTTTAAAACACCTTCATGAATGCATAATATGACATTTAAGACCGAACTCGAGCATTTTAAATACTTATAACTGGGCTTATGGTTGTACTTCTCTGTACAACCGTTAAGACTAGGGTGTCTGGCATAGTGGCAAAGGCATGCCAACGGTGGCATGCCAATAGTGGCATGCCCTGGCATGCCAAAA